GCTCTCTGGTGTGGAAGGAGAGCAGAAGGTCACCAACACCAAGGTCGATCTGCTGGCCGCAAAAGTCAAGCACCTGGAAAAACTCCTCGGCCTCATGCAGGCAGAACGCCCTGAAGTTGTGGAAGAAATGGCTTCGCCCTCGTTCGACCGTTCCCCTGACCCCACCATCCTGGTCATTCGGTCGAAGAACTACGCGACCAAGTCTGCCGTGCAGCAGTCTGTCGCGGCCCCAATCCTGGCGAAGAATAACATGTCGGAGACGGACGCTGTGCTGGAGGGCGAGCCCGCTGGCAAACGCTTCGCGCTCCGAGTTCAAGGCCAGAGGAACTTCGCCGCACGCCAGGTCAACCAGATCCTCTGCAGTTTCAAGATCAGTGCGCAGCAGTGGCAGGCTTTCTCAACCACCGACGCCATGGGAGTGCAGTGCGAATGCTATGTGTCCGCCGACAAGAGCCCTGCCCAAGTCAAGCGAGAAATCCTCGCCAAGCAGATCAAACGTGTTCTTTTTTCGCTGCATCCACAGCATCATTTCCACACTAACAAGGCCAAGGGCGAGGTATCGCTCCAATGGAAACCTCTCGTCCGTGGTGTTCCGCGTGCTGGCGATGAGCTCCCGCAGATCGAGTATGCTGCTGAGAACCTGGCAGCCTTCCATCTCGTCAAGGCGGACATCGAGGAGGCCCTGGCCGAGATCCCCGGGCCGCCTGAGCCCGTTGCGTGGCAGGTTTAACCCGCTCTTCGCGGCGTGGAGCAGCTCCTTCTCGGGACCTACTTCTCTGGTGGTGGGGACCTGGAATGCACAGTCGCTGTTTCACTACAGGCCGCAGGTTAGAACCAGGAAGATCAAATACATCAGATCCCTGTTGGGGTCAGGCTCGGTCTTGGGGATCCAGGAGTCCCACGGTACCGAGGCTGAAATCAGAGATCTGCTGTACCATCTACATCGTCCTGTCCAGGCTTTCTTCTCGCTCCACCCTCCGTCTCCGCATCCTGCTGGAGGGGTGGCCACCTTCCTCCCCGACTTTAAGAAGACGCACGGCTGCCAGCGACAGCCGACGTTAGTGCCGATCGAGTTAGTCCCCGCTCGTGCTCTGAATGTTCGATTTTTGTTTCCAGGAGGTGTCTGGATTTCCCATTCCAGCATTCACAACCATGGGCTCAGTACTTCTCAGAGGCAGAAGATCTTAGAGGCTATCTCCCAGGACATCCTAGAGGCGCCCAAGGACCCCACCAGAGGCTTCGCGTTCGTAGGTGGCGACTTCAACTTCTCCGATGAGGCCCCCAGAGTGCTGCGTGACATCTCTCCGGGTTCCCCTTCGACCCCCCAGCCGCGCTCCCTCTCGTTCTGGAGGACCCTGGGGAACCGTCTTGGGACAGCTCGTTGAGATCGACGTTTCCGACCCCACCCACTTCTGCGCAGCACAGGGGACTCTTGGGAAGCTGGATCGGATCTTTGCGTCAGCACCTGGATGGTGCATTACCCAGATGTGCACAGGTGCCCGCGTCCACGGCTGCCCCGAGGTGCTTGCTGGGGCGCGCGTATCCGACCACGCCGCCATCAGCGCCGCGTTCTCTGCCCGAGTGGCGGCTAAGCCGCACGAGCAGAAGATGCATCAGGATATCTTTAAAAGGCCAGAGTATTCCAGATTCATCGCTAAGGTGTTACAAGAAGTTGACGACTCTGATTGATCGCCCCCTCTTCGAGTTGAATTTCATAAAAACCTGATGCCCGAGGCCGCAATATTTGCCCGAAGCGTTATTCTAAGAGGAAAACATCTCGACCCTCTCGCACGATACCTAGCATGTCGTACTATCGCTCGAGCCGCATGGAATCAAGATATCGTTTTGGCCGAGAAGATAATGTACTCCCACCCCTTCGGCAAGCAGTTTTTGTCGATCGATGCGCGCGCGCGCGGTCACGGTGGCCGACCCCGTGAGTTTCGAGGCCGCCTCTGACGAGGCGCGCCTCGCTATGTTCAACGCCGCCAGAGCAGGCAACCCGCAAAAAAAAAAAAAAAAAAAAAAAAAAAAAAAAAAAAAAAAAAAAAAAAAAAAAAAAAAAAAAAACAAGAAAAAAAACTCCTAGACGAGGACCTCCCTGAAAAAGTCAGGGCCAAGAAGGCCCGTCGGATGCGCAGTCTCCAGGTCCGTTGCAAACTTTGGTCTCCGTTCGACCGCAAGTTGCAGCTCCGTGGGCTAAGGATTGGTCCCACTCATATTGTTTCTGACTCATCCGGTATTCTTCACGGGCTTGCTCGGCACTGGGGGCCGGTTTTTGCTAAGAAGGAGGTCGACAAGACCGCAGCGTTCGCGTATTCAGAGAGGTTTAAGCCAGAGGTTGACCTAAGTGGACTGCCACCGCCAACGGAAAGAGACATTTCCCGCTTCCTCGCCAGAGTCACCCCCAGTGCCCCCGGTCCCGACGAGCTTCCCTATGGAGCATGGAAGCACCACCCCTCGGGCTCCAAGGTCCTCTCGGAGCTTCTGGATTGGGCGTTGGCAGGCAATCCCCTTCTCTTCGGCTTTAACATCTTGAAGGGGGCCTTCTTGGTCAAGGGCGACGAGCCCGAGGACTCCCAGGTTGTGATCCGTGGCCCGAGCGGAACCAGACTCCTTGGCTTGAAAAACGCGGACTGCAAGATTTTGACGTCGGTGTGTATCAGGCCGCTTACTTTCAAACTGCCATCTTTTATTCGTGGGTCCCAACGGGGCTGCATCCCTTCCCGCAACTTCGGGGGCAACATTATTGAGCTCGATACCCATGCTCGGGTCGCATCCATGATGCCAGAAGTACGGACACGTATGCCTGCTTTACTGGCGTTCGACTACGGGCAGGCTTCCCCCTCGGTCTCACAGCACTGGATCTTCCTGATGCTGCGCACGCTCAACCTGCCGCCGCCCCTGTACGCGTTCCTGGAAACGATTTACTCCGAAGTCTCGTGTTGGGGTCAGATCGGGTCCACCATTATCTTTATGATCATGATCGAACCAGGTAATTTCCATGGATGTCCCGCTAGCGGCGCTCTCTACGCTGTCGCTTCGCACGCCTTCGCCGCTCACTTCGAATGGTTGATAGAAAGACGCGGACACGGACTAGCTCGACTGTGTGCTGACGATGCAGGTAGTGTAATTAAGCAGATCATACTTACATACTGTCTTTCGGGCGTCGAAACGGGTGGCCAATCTAGTTCTGGAGCTCCCAAAGTGTAAACTTGTACCCCTAGTAGGTGAATGCGCGCCCGGAGTTATTGCAGCTTACAAGACCTGGATCCAGGTCAATCTGCCAGAATGGAGCGAGTTTCAGGTGGTGCCTAAGCTTTTGTACCTCGGGATCTTTCTGGGCCCTTCGGCCGCGCCGTCCTCCTGGGACGCCCCCGTCGCGAAATGGTCCCTGCGAGCCGGCCAAACCTCCCGAGCTGGCACGCCCTTCTCGATTGCCGCGGCGATGTACGACAACCGCGCTGTGTCCTGTTTGGGATATGTCGCCCAGTTCTTTCGGACCCCAAAATCTGTTCTCCCTCGTGAACACGCCATCTTTGCGGCTCTGTTTAAAATGCCTCACTGCTCTCTTTCGCGACAAGCGTTCTTTTCTCTTGAAAGCTGGGGCGGCCCCGAGCTTCGAAGTATTTATGCTCTCGGTCTCGCGTCTCTAAGTCGATCGTCAATCAGCGCGTTCTCTGCCTGGCGCAGTTGCGTTGAGGTCCTCTCGGAGGCTGGAGTGCACCTCTCCCTGGAAGATGTCGGGCGCCACAGAAGGGGCCCATCATTTTGGGCCGAGCCTCCGATCGCTGACACTCTCGCAGACGCGCACCGTGGTTTTGTTTCAGACCCGAAGCTAGCTCCGATCGGAGCACGCGCAGTACAGGCCGCTCTTGATTGCCAAGCTTCAGGTTCGAAGAAGCTCCAGCGAGCCGCTTATAATGTGATTGTTTCCTCCTGTGTTCCCTCCCTCCCTCGCCCCCTCCTTCGTGGCCCGCCTGCTCCACCTCCTCCCTCTTGTGCCTCCCGTCCGCATCAGAGGTATCGACTGGACTGCTGTGCAGAACGCTTCTTTACAGTGCCCGCCAGCGTGGCGGCAAGCTATAGTAAAAACACTTGCTGGTGCCTGGACTACGGACAGTCGGTTCCAACAGAGTCGCCAGTGTATGTTTAAACTGTCCGAATTGCACCGACTCGCAAGCTCATTATCTCATATGTCTTGGATTTTGGGGTATTTGGGTTGAGTTTCAGGGCCACCCGTTACCCGACGACCCCATAGATATACTAGGTCTGGTGAACCCCTCTCCCCACTCGCTGTCCACCACTGTTGCCGCTTTTTACCTTTTCACTCTCGCCCATCCTTGTCCTCATCCGCTCTCGTCCGAGGCCGCCCGTGCTCTGATCCCACAGCTCCGCTCCTCCATTCGTCGTGTTTTGCGCCCGCATGCGCCGGCTGCGTCGGCCACGGGCATTCGTCCTGCCAGGCCGCCCCGCTCTCACAGCAGCAGCGGGAGTGGACGTGGCAGCAGTAGCAGCAGTAGCAGTAGAAGCAGTCAAAGTGTAGGCGAGTAACTCGAACTTGTCCGATGGGTACGAGCGCAGGAGGAGGAGGACGAGGACGAGGAGAAGAGAGGAAAAGGAGGGGAAGGAGGAGGAGGAGGAGGAGGAGGAGGAGGAGGAGGAGGAGGAGGAGGAGGGTGGATGAGTCCATTCTGAGTGTGATTAATTCGGCCGCCAGGGTACACTCGGGCCGGCTGGAAGTTCAGAGCAGCACACAAGCAGAGACTTTGTCCACGGCTAGCTCCCATGTCAATCTGCGCGTCCATCTCGCCTCCGTGCGTCCATCCCTCCGCGACCGCGCGGGCGGGCGGTCGTCTGTCCGCCCCGCCCGCCCGTTTGCCTCCTGGCCCTTTTCCTGCTCCCACCCTTTCGCCCGCGCCCCCCCGTGCCCCTTCTGCCCCCTCCCGCCACGACCTCCACCAGGGCCCAGATTCTTGGGGCACGGGCATCCGAAGCCGCCAAGCATCAGGAGCGAACGAAGCACGTACACGTACATGAATCCACGCTGGTTTCGAGAGTACGCATTGGCCGAATGTTCATATCACGCGGCCAGTCTCGCAGATCGAAGGGCCGCGTTCATGTACGTAGCTGGGCGCAAACGTCCTTTGTGCGCTCCCTAAAATATCGGCGCCTTCGCTCCCCGAGTCCAAGCGCCGCGGGAGAAGCGGGGCCCGGATGTCCGCGGGCAGGTGGCAGATTCCGGCGACGTTTCTGGCGGCGGCGGCGGCAGTGCGCTCCTCCTCCACACGTCGCCTCTCGTTCCTCGGCCTACGGCTTCCCCGCGGAGGTCGTCGTCTACCCGAACCAGAAGTTGAAGCCGCCAGTCGGCGAAGGCCCCACGGGCGTTTCTCGTCTTTCTTCGTGGTCTTGCATCGTAGTTCTTCGTCGTCGTATTCTTCATCGTCTTCGCCTGCGTCGTCGTGCCGGTCGTGGTCGCCGCTGGTCCATCCCCTCCCCTCCTGGTCCATTCACTCTCTTTCCCGTTTCCTCCCTCCCTGTCCCCCAGCCTTCCCACTCGCTCCCCCCTGCGATCAATCCCATTTGTAAGGAGATGGGGGCGAGTGGGATACGGTGGGGGGGGACAAGGTGGGAGGAGAAATGTGGCTCTTGTGTTTCATCCTTGTCATACTGCTTGCCCGAACGGCCATCTCAGCCCAGCCAGTGCCGACGTCCATCGGCGGGTCCACTCAGGCAGGCCTCCGACGTCGGGCACCACGGCCTGGTCGAGCGGAGCACCTGTGCAGGCGGCCGTCCTGCCGAGGACGGGCGGCGCCAAGCGGAGGTAATGAGCCTCTTCACGTGATACCGCCGCTGCCAAGCAGTAGTGCACCCGAGGAGGAAGAGGAGGAGGAGGAAGACGATGACGAGGAGAAGGACGAGGAGGAGGAGGACAAGGAGGACGAGGAGAACGAGGACGAGGAGGAGGACGAGGAGGAGGAGGAGGAGGAGGAGGAGGAGGACGAGGAGGAGGAGGGGGAGGGGAGGAGGAGGAGAGGGGGAGGAGGGGGAGGAGGAGGAGGAGGAGGAGGAGGAGGAGGAGGAGGAGGAGGAGGAGGAGGGAGAGAGAGGAGGAGGAGGAGGAGGAGGAGGAGGAGGAGGAGGAGGAGGAGGAAGAGGAGGAGGAGGAGGCGGAGGAGAGGGCCCGCCCCTTCTCGCTTCCCGCCCCCGTGCCCGCCTCCGACGCCTGCCTGCACAGGATCCTCCCTGCCCACCACGGCGAGGGCCCGCTGGAAGGAGAGGGAACCCCGTGGGCCCGCCGCGTGCTCTCGCGACCCTGGGCGCCTCCGCTGCCCCGTGCACTGCCTCCGCGCCGTCCCGTGCCCCCTATAATGCCCATCGTCGCCCAAAATGCAGAAGCGCGCTCCAGGACGTCGCCCCCGCGCGCGGGGGACTCCGCGGCCACTTCTCGGCGGAGAGGCGCTGGACCGCGCCGCCGCGGGCGCCACTGCCGCTTCTCCACCGCAGCCGCCTCCCGCAAGGGCCCTTTTGGGAGCCTGGTCGGAGGTTGGTGCAGTGTGGGCCCATGCCAAGAAACACCCTGCTTGCCTCCAGGGTGCCGTGGGCATCGTGGGCTTCGATGGTGTTGCGATGGAAGGCGTGACGTTCCCACACCAGAAATCAATTGGCGTCCTGGGGTCTCAGGGTTGGGTTTCTTCTGGAAGGTTTCTGGCGGTTCGGCCCCCACTGTAATTATTGTCACTTCTGATCCAGGTGCGTGCGGCAATCCCCGCCGCCGTACCTGCGCAGCAACGTAGCAGGGCGGAGGTTGAATACAAGACCCGTTCCATGTCAGCGCCCTCTCTGAGCCAGCGCGGTCTTAAAACGATTTTCCGTGTCCGCAGCCTATTTCACGAATTCCTTTTCTTGGAAGCCTCTTGGGGGTCTCGGAGCCGCGTTGGGCGCGATAGTTCAACCGAGCTCTCTCGAAAAGGACCGGCTGAATCATCTTGCGGGCAGTTATTGGAGGCATCTTGTATTGCGTGGAGGGATCACTGGTGCGTCTCAGGACCAGCGCGTTGCCTTTCTCGGGCCGTCTTTTGCCGTCTTGGACGTCTTTGGGGGTTATGTGAAATTTCCTGGACCGATCTGAAGTTGGAAAGCTTCGGGCACAAGCACACGAACCCACCACTGCATTCATTGTCAGTTGCCTTCGTGGCCTCGCGGGGACGTCTTGGATCTCATCGGGGTTTGCCGGGCCGTCTCGGGCTGATCCTCGGGCATCGTGCTGCCGTCTTGGATTGGTGGTCCCCAAACGTGGTGGTGAGAACACCCGGTGGTGAGTTTTGGGCGGTTTGGGTAATGGTTTTCGAGCGCTGGCCGGCCCAGGAACCGCGAAGCCTCGTGGCGACCGCGTGTCCCCAAACCCGGTGGTGACCCAGAATTATTCTTTTGGGGAATCGGGGTCACCACCGGGTGTCTCACCACCTGGTTTGGGGACCACCACTTGGAGCCATCTGGAGGGCGGACAAGGCGTTGGGGGCTAGTTCTAAAACAGCGGTGGTGTCGGCCTTGGAAAGCTGCCACACTGCATTATCGTTTGCAACTCCCTAGCCAGATCTTGCAACAGTAAATGGCATGGCGCACGACGCGGTCGAAACACACACACACACATGCACACACACACGCACGCACGCACGCACGCACGCACGCACGCACCCAGACACACACGCACGCACGCACGCACGCACGCACGCACGCACGCACACACGCACGCACGCACGCACGCACGCACGCACACACACAGACACACACACACACACACACACATGCACACACACACACACACACGCGCACACACGCACACACACACACACGCACACACACGCGTACAGACATACACACAGCCGTTCTGGCCCAGGTGGGCTTGGTGCAGCAAACATTCAGAGCGGCTACTTTGCTGTACCGGGCTGAAGTGGCTCGTATTGCAGATTGCTTCTCTTGCCCGTGAGGGCACAGCGATGGCGAATGTCGGGACGCATTGGAAATGTCCGTGTTGCCCGAAATTCAATCCGATCTGCAAGTTCAAGTGTGCCCAGTCGGGGTGCAGTGGAGTTCGGCCAGGCCCTGGACCCACTCCGCGCCCGTGGCATTCCGCAGGTGGAAAGTGGGCTCAAGGTGCTCCGCAACTCAAGCCTGCTGGGCCTCTTCGTCGGCGGGGTGCTGCAGGTGTTACACTTGATGACGCTGGTGTTAAGTCGTATGTGGAGCTTACTCAAGAAGTATGGGATCTGGTTAAGTCTACTCTGTCTCAGTCCAGCCGCGATCGTGTTCAGTATGCGAGAACGGCTGCAGCGGCAGGTTGGACCCCAGGCGTCACTCACAACAACAATGTTGAGAAGGCTGCGAAATCTTTGCTCGCTGGGCAGCAGAAGTTGCAGAAGGCGAAGGATGCCGCAGCCAAGGGAATGGTCGCCCTGCAGGAGCAGCAGGTGGCCGTCGCCTCGTTGGAGCAGGAGCTTGCCGCGGCCAAGGAGGAAGCAGCCAAGGCCCTTGGTGCTTCCACAACGCCGCTCAAGCTCGACATCAGCCCTTTGCTCGAGCAGCTCAAGCAGTTGCAGTCCAGCTCAGGCCAAGGTGACACAGCTGAGGCCATCTTCGGGAGGGTCACCCAGGCCGTCACCGAGTTCGCCCAGAAGCAGCACACTGCAGCTCCTCCTGCCGAGGCTCCAGCACCAGGTGGTGGCGCCCACGGCGGCGGCGCGCCAGGTGTCGGCGGTGGTGCAGCGGCTGCCGCGGGGGCGGACGACGATGCCGCCATGGAGGGTGATGCTCGTGACGGTTTCAGCGACCATCTTGATGGGGATGATCCTGGTGGGCTGCTGGCGGGGGCCTCCAGTGCCGACGAGCGGAAGCGGCTCCTGGAGGCCCTCGAGATCCTCCGTGCAGAGGCCAAGCGGAGGAGGACGGGCCTTTAGCGGTCCACGGCAGCGGCGTTCCTGGGTCGGTCTCACGGTGAACGCCAACGCCTACTCTACTTTCGAGACCTTGTTGGACCGAACGGAGATCCGTCGTGCCGACTTTGTTGCCGTCCAAGAGACGCACCTCACGGTGGAGCGCAGCCATGAGGTGTCGGCGAGGCTGGCCAAGCTCGGCCGGCATGCGCACGCAACCCCTGCCGAAGGGTCGGGTTCCTGGGCATGGAGGCCTCCTCCTGCTTTCGCCGCGGGTGCACGGCGCGGGGCAGTTCGAGGGTGTCGGCAGCTCGATCATCGACGTCGGGCGTGCGACTTTCGTGCATCACTCTGGCTTCTGCTCGGGGGGCATGGTGCTGGTCGCGGTTTACCTGCGCACGGCCGAGGGGCTCTCGCGCGCGAACGAGAACATCCTGCACAAGGTGTCCACCATGCTGCAGGTCCCCGGGCGCCCTTCTCATCAGTGGCGACTTCAACATGGAGCCAACCACCCTCATGCAGCCCCCCTTCCTCGAGAGGTGCTGCGGGCGCGTTGTGGCGCCGTCCTCGGGCACGTGCAGGCCCTCAGAGCAGGTCATTGATTATTTCGTTGTGTCCAGGCATTTCAGTGTGGCCAGCGCCGAGGTCCTGCACGATTGGGAGTTTGGGCCGCATCGGCCAGCCAGGCTCACGATCGATGGCGCCCAGATCGACGACTGGGCACAGGTGATGCGCACGGCCAAAGCCTTTCCCAGCCCGTTCCCTGCTGGCTGTTGCGCGCGGGACTTCACGGGGGACTGGCTCGCGCTGCGCGATGCCACCACCGACGTGGACAAGGCCTGGGCGGAGTCCATAGGTGTCACGGAGCGCTACCTGTGTGACCTCAGCGGACTCGACATCGGCAAGTACGGTGGGCGAGACCACGGGCCTGAGCTCGGCTAGGCGCGCGCGTGCCCGCCTTCGGCGCCTCGCATGCCGAAGGCGAGCAGGCCTGCGATGTGGCTGAAGGGCGTGGCTCTTGCAGCCGCCGATGGGGTCAGCGCCGATCCCATCCGTCGCGCGCGGGGTCAGCGGGCCCTGGGGCGCAGGGCGCAGCGGCCACAGGACAGTGTGGTGCCAGGCGGTGGCGCTTCTCTGCCGCGCGCGAGAATGCATGGGCTACGTTGAGCTCGAGTGCCTGGCGGCGATCACCAAGCAGATCGCGGACGATGCCATCGCCGCCGACGTGCGGGAGTCGAAGGCTCGCTTCGGGGACTGGATCGACGCGCACTCTGCTGATGGGGGGGCGGCGCTGCACGCCTTCACGAAGGAGCCCGCGGTCAACGCCTCTGCGATCCAAGGGGTCGAGGTGCCGCTCGGCAAGATGGAGGCAGTCAAGGCGCTGGTGCGTGAATGGTCCGAGTACTGGCGGACTTCGGCTACGCCTCCGATTTTGGTTTGGCCCGGCGACCTCGGCGAGCGCCCCAGGCGACCGACCCCAGATCAGCTGCGACGGGTTTGTTCGACGTTCAAGGTCCAAGGCGGGCGGAGCTTTGACAGCTTTAACCCGCGCGATTTCGGCGTGCTGGATGATGTCGGCCGGGAGGCGCTCGCAGATCTCCTCGGGATGGTCGAGCGGCAATGCCGCTGGCTAGATTTTATCGATAAGCTGGCGTTCATTCCCAAGCGCGAAGGTGGAGTGCGGCCTGTCGCCCTTCTTGCCGCGCCTGTTCGAGTGCATGGGCGGCTGCGACGGCCCATGGCCGCAGTGCGGGAGGACGCCCGCGATCGCGGCTACTGGTGGGCGTCGGCCGGCAAGAGCTGTGATCGCGCGGTGTGGCAACAGCTGGTCTGGAGCGAGTGGGTTTCTATGAAGATTGGTGAGGATCCCAGCGCTGACTGGGCCACTGCAACGTTGCTGCTGGATGTGTGGAAGGCTTTCGAGCAGATCAGGCATGACAATTTGTTGAGATTGGCTCAGAAGTTCCCCTTTCCCTTGTGGTTGTTGAAACTGCAACTGGATGTGTATGCCAAGGCACGTGCTCTTGTTTTGGATGGCGCCGTATCCGACCTGGTCTACGTGCGCCAGACCGTGCTTGCAGGCGTTTCTTTCGCCACCACCTTCATGAAGCTGCAGCTGATTGAAAGTGTCGATCACATGCGGCGGGCCGCGCCCACGGCGTCGCCCGCCATCGTGGTCGACGACCTGGTCCTCCAGCGGTGCGGCGGAGAGCATAGGGTGAGCCGAGACATCATCATGGCGGCGCAGGTGCTGGTGAACGGTCTCAGCAGGGACGGCGTCCGCATCGCTACCAAGAAGTCGCAGGTTCTTGCTTCGAGCACAGCCCTCACCCGAATTCTGAAGGCCAAGTTGATCGCGATCACTGGTGCTCGAGCTGCCAGACACGCGAGGAACCTCGGCACGGACTTCGCTCAAGGGCGCGCGCTGGGGCGACAGGTGCGACGAGCGCGCCTCCGTGCTGCTGAGCGACGGGTACCTAGAGTACGGCGACTCTTGGGAAATGGAAGTCGACGGGGTATAGCTGCCCGCATCGCCAAGCAGGGCCTCGAGGCAGGTTACGCGTACAGTGTGAACTGCACGGGGCTCAGCGACGCCGACCTTCAGTCTGCTCGTTCGGTTGCCTTCCGTTCCACGGCGGCGCGAGTGGGCGGCAAGAGTCGCACGCTCAGCCTCGACCCCATTTTTCGGGCCACCCTCGATCCAGTTTGTATGTTGCATCGTGCAGTCTGGGACAAGTGGCTGCCGCAATCCATTATGTCTTCTGTGATGGCGTGGACATCCACCCATGTGAAGTCTTGGGCTCAAGTTCGTGGATCCATCAGCGCTGCGTTCATGTCCCTGCTGCGCGTCGGGTGGGCGGCGGCCAGCATCAGCACATTGATCAATTCGGCGACTGGCGCAGTGTATAAGCCGCTGGATTTCTCGCCGTGGTATACGAAGCAAGTGTTGCGGAAAGCAGTTCTTTGGTGGCAGTTTCAGAAGGTTGTTGACGAGCTGCCGCATTTGGACAACGGGTTCAATATCGCACAACTGAGGAAGTGGATCCATCGAGGACGGCCGACGACGTCGGAAGGGCGTGCGTGGCCCACCCTTGGTGCAGAGGGGCGACGGCATGCCAGGTCGCTCATTGTCGGCGGCCAGTGGACCAACCATCGCCGCTTTCACAATGAACCTCGGTATGCTCGTTCGGAAGAGTGCAAGTTGTGCCCAGGGCATGTCGGTACGCTCTGGCATCGACATATGGAGTGTGCTCACCACTGGCCGCAGGCGGAGTTGCCAGCCGCCATCGCCACGCTCCAGAGGCAGGCGGACCACCCCAACATCGTCACGTTGGTCGAACGGTTGCTGCTGGTACGGCCGCAGGTGGTGTGGCAGCCACCCCAGGACGAGATTCTTTCGTCGGTCAAGTGGATGCTGGGGAACGGTGCTATGCCTTTTCGCAACGTCGAGCTGTTCACCGATGGCTCGGCCTTCGACCTCGACCTCGACTACGGCATGGCTGGCTGTGCGGTGGTGCAGATACCCCTCGGGCCTGGCTGGTGCGACCCTGGTCCGAAGTGTGCCATTCGAGCCTTGGGGTCGCCGCTGATGGGGATGCATCAATCTATTGAAGGTGCTGAGCCCCTCGCGGTGCTCATTCTTCTTCGTCGCTGCCTGGCGCCCATCACTGTGAGGATTGATGCCAGTTACGTGGTTGACGGTCTTCTGGTGCGTGGACCTGAGGGCACGTGTGGTGCCTCACACAGCTGGGCCTTCTTGTGGCGTATGGTTTGGAGTGCTATTGAAGACTTTGGTGGGCTTGGGCCCGACGGGCTCACCGTGCTCAAAGTGAAAAGGCACGGCACTCTACGGGATGTACAAGCAGGTCGCTTGTCTCGATGGGAGCGTCGGGGTAACCTCGAGGCCGACGCTTGGGCCAAGCGCGTCACTCGTCCGCACGCCCTGGGCGAAGCCGACAGGGTGAGGATCAGGCGCTCACACCTGATGGTGGACGGTGTTGTGGCTTGGGTTTCTTGTGCTGGTGCCCCAGCGTCGGCTGCCCGTGATGACATTGACACGGATGTGGTTATCAAGTCCCCGACGAAGATTCAGCTCAGCCTCACGAAGCGCGAGTTCGTGGCCGAGGAAAGCTGCTGGAGATGTTCCAGGTGCGGGCGATATGCCGCAACCGAGCACTCCAAGCACAAGCTGTTCAGCCTGCCCTGCATCCCACGGCCTGCGTCCAGTGCCCCGCGCTCGTATGACACGTCGGGGGTGAAACGACCTGCAGCAGTGGCTGGGATTGTGGCAGCAGCGGCTGCCGCGGCTGCTGCTTCGCAGGCCAGCGGCAGTGATGTTGGCAGCGACGACGGTGGCGGTGCGGCACGGCGCAGAGTTGACGACCCGCAGGTGGCAGCTGCCTCGTCATGCAGTGTTGGCGAGACAGCCGTGGGACATGTCGACATGGCGAGAGGACATGATATCCGCGTTGCCCACGGCTACCGTGTATGTATGAAATGTTGTTACTTGGTGCGTGAACGTGAGGGGCTCGTCCGTGACCTTGGGAAGGATTGCACAGGACACCCTCGCAAAGGTGATGCTGCTGGTCGAGTTCGCCAGCAGCGCAGGGACCTGATCCTCTTGGGCAAAGATCCCAAGTCTCGGAAGCCCATTTCGCATTCTTAATTCTTCGAGGCAATGTGCGCGGTGCTTCTGTGTCTCGTTTTTGGCGCTGTGCACTTGTGCTTCGGAGTTCGTTTTTCCATTCTCACGCTCCGCGTGGCATCACCCCGGGCGTGTTGACCGTGCTGCTCACTTCAACGGTCCCTGCAGTTGATTGTGTTCTGCACGCTTCGCGTGATATCCTCCAAGGCGAGTTTGATGTCATGCCATTTCTGGCACGCTTCGCGTGGCTTTGACTACGGGTGTGTGAGTTTCGCGCGCTTCGCGCGCCGCTTGCCCTAAGGGGCGAGCGCCGCCGTGCCCCTGCTGTGGCGTGGACTTGGGTCCTGCCGTCGCGTTGCATGGTTCGATCGGGCCGTGGGGCTCTGTCGGGGCGGCCCTGGTGGCTGCCGTGCGTACAGCTTGGCTGTGCGCACTAGCACGTCTAAAACACACACATACACACACACACACACACGCACACACGCACACACGCACACACGCACACGCGCACACGCGCACACACGCACACACGCACGCGCGCACACACGCACACACGCACACACGCACACACGCACACTCGCACACACGCGCACACGCGCACACGCACACACGCACACACGCGCACACACACGCACACACACGCACACACCCTCTCCCCTCCCGTTCCTTCCGTCGACCCTTGCCCATGATTGCCCCCCCTTCCCGCCTTCCTCCCACCCTTTCCCTCCGACCCCTCCCTCCTGCTCCTGCACCCTCTTTCCCCCCTTCATCAACCCTGCCTTCCCCCCTCCCCCAGTCCTGTCCGTCCTCCTTCCTCCCTTCATCACCGCCCCTCCTGCCACCATCTTCCCTTGAACGCTTCACCTTCCCCTCTAGCCTAGACGAGGACGCTGCACGGCCACCCCCTCCCCGTCGGCCATGGGTGAAGAAATTGGCTGTCCGCCCACCCTGCCTATGCCAACCATGCCCACGCAATAATCCGAGCACGCTCGTCCGATCCCTGGTCGAGAAAGGTGGACATCGCGAATCTGGCAATCTACTCATCCTGCATATGCGGACAACTCCTGCGCAGCAATCGGAGCACTTCATTCTGAACGCCAATGGCGGAATGTGGACGTCGCGAATATGTGATTCGCGCCCTCGCCGCCCCCCTTCCCCTCGAGAGCGCACGCACCGCCCAGGCCTGAACAGGCCCGCCAGCATCGTCCTGTGCGCCGCCCCCCGCGGGGGCAGCAACCGCCGCCTCCGCCGGCGTCGTTGTCGATCGTCCTTTTCGCCTTTCGTCGGCGCCGACGTCGTCGTCATGGTCGGCATCGGCTCGGCCTCAGCTGCGTCGTTGGCGTCGGCAGCGGCGTCGGCGTGCAGGGGGCAGGGGAGGGGGATGCAGGGAGGAGCAGAGACAGCGAGCGGCGGTGGAGGGTTTCTCCGAAGGGCTTAGGCAACCCGTCCTCCTCCCCCTCCTCTCTCCTCCTCCTCCCCCTCCTCTCTTCTTCTCCTCCTCCTCCTCCTCCTCCTCCTCGCTTCTCCTCCTCCTTCCCCTCCTCCTCCTCCTCCTCCTCCTCCTCCTCCTCCTCCTCCTCCTCCTCCTCCTCCTCCTCCTCCTCCTCCTCTCTCCTCCTCCTCCGCCTCCTCCTCCTTGGGTCGCCTACGGCCCCGGGGGAAACCGTGCAAGCGGCGGGCTGGGAAGTGGGATCAGTCTGGGAGGTTTGAGGGTTGCTCCTGAGGGTTGCTCCTGCAGGGCGAGGGTTACGATGTTCCAGCCTACTTTGAAGTCGGGCCCGTCCCTCTACAGGAGGAATATTCAAAAATAGTCAAACTTAGAATGGGGACGATTTTTCGATTATCGGTTGAGCAGTTTGGAGTATAATTTGACTATTTTTATTTTTCGCCCAAAATCGGCCTGTAGGGGGACATGCCCGACCTAAGCCTACTTTAGCATTGATCGCCAGACAGAATTTCGAGCTCCATGCAAGTACCGAAATTTGAGGGTTTTCACGTGTCGGGCCATGGGAGGCGATACTCGGTTGACACGGTTTCGACACTTGCCTGGGTGCTCGAAGTTATTTCTGGGATGTGGTCCTTAAGTACGATGGAAGCAACATGAGGCGAGGGGCAGTTGGCGACGGCAGCAGACTGAGGGGGTGTCTTGGTGTTCTTCTAACAGGTTTCTGGCCCTCCTTTCCCCCCGCCTCTCCCTTCCGCTCCCTCGTCTCTCCGCCTCTCCCTCCCTCCTCCCCCCCCCCTCGTCGCTGCTCCCGCCGCCCCCCTCGCTCACCCCCTTCCCGCCCTCCGCCGTGCTCCCTCCCTCCGAACCTGGAGTCGCGACGACTCCGCAGGCGACGCCCCATGCCTTGCAGCCCGCCCGCTAGGCTTCATACGGGCTCGCCGTGCCGTGAGGTTGACGATTCGGGACCATGTTTCGGGTCCTCAGCCTGCTTCTGCGACGAGCACCTCAGCGGTGTTCTTGACCGCCGAGGCGACACCGGCACTGCAGGTGGCAGTCCAGTCGGTCCTCCCTCCTGCCCCCCCCCCCCGCAACCAAACGCCCGACCCATCCGCGTGGAGGATCCGCTCTTCCTTCGGCCTTGCGGCCTGGCGGTGCCCCTGCCCGCCCCGCACGGCGGCTGCCCCGCGCGGAGGTACGGCTGCGTCGCGAAGACGCACGGCTTCAAGGAGCGCGCCCGGGCGGCCCAGACACCAAGCTCGGGGGAGCGTAAGACCCGGGTTTGCCAGGACTCGGGTTCGCCATCGTTTTTTGACGACCGCGCCTCGGATTTTGACGAGGAGGAGTTTCGTGGGATGTCTGCAGCGGGAGGCCTCGTCAAAATGCAGGCTCGGCCTCGTCATTTTTTTGACGACCTCGTCGGGGATTTCCGAATCCCCGTTACCCAGGTCTTACGTCCCCCTGACAAGCTCGTTTTTCGGTTTATGATGTTCCAACTTGCTGTAGCCTTGATCACTTGATCACCAGAAAGAATTCAAGGAAGTACCGACATTTGAGGGTGTTCACGTGCCGGGCCCTGGGAGGCGACACTCGCTCGACACTGTTTCGACACTTTTCTGGGTGTTCGAAAATATGCCTGGGATGTGGTCCTTGACTACGAGGGGAGCAACATAATCCTCGGTCCTTGCTGCGCCTTCTGCTGCGCATCCTCTTCTTCCTCGTCAGTCTCCCTCCCTCCCGCTCCTCCTGCTGCTCCTGCTCCCTCTGGGGTAGTGCTCGGTGGTGCCGAGTCGGCATCGGCAGCGCCTCAGGTTGAACCTGAGGGCCAGCAGCCGGCCGACGAAGCGCCCGTTCTTCAGTCGACCCCCGGAGCGAACGTCCTTGTTGTCGTCGCCCTCGTCCTCCTCCCGCTCGTGTTCATCCTGCTCCGAAGTGGCTCCTCATCTTACGGGTCATCGTCTGAGGGAGCAGAGGACCAGGACGGCGGGGGCGGGGTGAAGAGCGGGAACACGAGGAAAACGAGCCGAAGAAGGAGGCGAAAGGGGGGGAGGAGGGGGAGGGGGAGAGGAGCTGGTCGAGTAGGATTGGGTAGGAGGAGGAGGAGGAGGAGTAGGAGGAGGAGGAGGAGGAGGAGGAGGGGGAGGCAGAGGAGGAGGAGGAGAGGGGAACGATGAGGATGAGGAGGAGTCAGAGAGGCAGGAAGAGAGATGTCCCGGGGAGACCTGGGGATGGAGGAGTGATGAAGCAGGGAAGGAGTGGTGGGGACGTGGGGTGGACGTGGAGAGGGATGAAAGGGGAGGAGGGGGCAGAAAACAGGTTGAAGTGGGGGCGGGACGAGAGAGGAGGGTGATGAGGTGATGAGCTGGATGGATGGGATAACCTCATGCCCGTGAGAATAAACACTAGGGGATAATAAAGTTCGGGGTTCAGGGAGAGATAATAAAAGTAGCCCAGCAGACCTCAGCATAATCTCGAAGTAAGAGATGATCAAGAGGAGACCAAGCCGAGCACGTTTTGAGACATCCTTGGCGTTTAGTTTTCATAGAAATATCCTCAACAATGGCTTATCTCTCATGAAAATTGTTTTTTGTAAGTGCTCGTGTAGGGTAGCTCATGTGCCTCAATTTCCATGGATGATCAACCCCAGAGATAAAAAAGTTCAGGCGAGCGTGGGGACAGAGAGAAGTATAAAAGAAGAATAATACAGTAGAATAATAATAAGAAAGAAGAAGAAGAGGAGAATAAGAAGAGGACGAAGACAGGAAAAATCCAAAGTTCCAAATCTATCAATTTTAATTTACAAACGCTTTATGACAATTGATTTTTTTAAGTGCTCGTGTAGGGTAGCTCATGTGCTTCATTTTCCATGGATAATCAACCCCAGGGATAAAAAAGTTCAGGCGAGCGTGAGGACAGATAGAAATATAAAAGAAGAAGAGGAAAGTAGAAGAATAATAAGAACATTGCTCGTTTCGTTTGAGTCTGCCTCCCAAGATTATTGGTTTCGCTTGACACATCCTGAAAAGTGTGTTCGCTTCGCTTGATGTTGCTATATCAACATCGCGTGATGTTGCTATCTCAACATAGCGTTTCGAGGTGATAATGAAGTTCGGCCTCAGCGCTCGCCGCCCAATTTGAATTTTGTATAGGGCGACGATAATCAACTCTAAACACTGAAGGGGGGGGGTCCCTTTATTATCATCGGCATGCGGTTACGTAACCGGACATGCTGTACATTTTAAGCGGGATAGGGGGGGCGAAATGCGAGAAGGAGAATTCCAGCAGCGGGATGCGCCAACACATTCACTCTGCAACTGATGTGCCGATGGCGGCCGCCGCGCTGGCTCTGGCGTGCGAGCCACCCAGACTGCTGGCTGCATGTGGAACTGCCGCGGGCTGCCCCGGTATCGAGACAAGCGATTGGACCCAGACATACTCGAATTGCCAATTCAACAACACAGTTCACCAAATGACATGCCAGGGCCGTCTCGGGCCCATAGGCACCGATTACTGCACAGTGTTTCGTTGCCCCTCTACCTCGGACACCAGCTGGCCTATCTTCATGGCGCATCTCGGGGTGAGCCACGGGCTGAAATGCAGCAGCACCGCCAGCAAGTCGGGCCCCTGTTGCCCCCCCAGACGTTGCGCGCACGCATTGCCAGAGTCGCCACACGTGGTTTCGTGGTAGCCCTCCGAACTGCAGAAGGAGGCGCGCACCCTCTCCATGTCGAGATCTCCGCGGCAAGTTCTGCTCAGCCACGCGCAGAAGGGGGTGTGGGGAGGGGGGAGGGCTTCTTAGAAGCACCCCTGCTTCTCAGAAGGCGCGGGCCTTATCTATAGATGTAAGGCTGGCGCCTTCTAAGAAGCAGCCTCCTTCTAAGAAGGTCTCCCCCCCTTCCTCCACCCCCTTGTGCGCGCCGCCAATCTGCCGCTGGCCACTGGGCCAGGACGCCCCGAGACATCGACGACTGCCGATCCCTCCTCGCCCCGTCTGTGGCACTGCTTGGAAGCCCGCTGCTGCAGCTGCTGACCTCCGTCCCTCCAGGACCCCCCGTTGGCATGCGTACTGGCCGATGCCGCTCCGCTTCGGTCAGCTTCGACTTCAACGCTTAGGTCAGGCATGTCCCCCTACAGGCGGATTTTGCGTGAAAAATAGGAAATAATCGAAACATATTCCAAAATGGTCGTAAATAGTAGAAAATCGTCCCCAGACTATTATTCGACTATTTTTGAAGATTCCGAATGTAAAGGGACAGGCCCGACTTAATTCAACGCCGTCGGCGCCTTCTCGTTCCGATTCGTGGCGCCCAGCTCGGCGTGCAGCTCCGAGCACTCATGTACACTAGAAGTCTCCTCGATCGGCCTGTGCCTTCAAGGGAGGAGAACCACCCAGACCAGACAAGCGGCGTTTACTAAACGGCCCTGGGCGCTTATTAGACAGGCATGCCCTGTTCGATTATTTATTTGGGTGCGTTTACTAACCCCCTGCCCCGGATGAAACAGTTTTCCCCCTTAACCCCCTGAATATTTCTTATCCCCGTGCCACTAGGATTTGATTATGGAGGGGGACGGCGAGGCCGAATTTGATAATCCCCGGGGGAAGTTGCGAATCCCCGGGGGGGGGCTGCGAGGTCAGTGTGCACGAGCGCCCAGACTCGAGATCTGTCGAGTCAGTCTTGTGCCAAGATCTGCAAGGTCAGTCTACATGCGCGCCCAGGATCATCATCATCATCATCATCATCATCAGCATCATCATCATCATCATCATCATCATCATCGTCCGTAGCCAGTTTGGCTCAAGCATTGTGGCCCGTTTTGGACTTGCGATCTTTCATGGATCCCGCGCTTGAAGCGCAACCGTGCTCAGTGACTGCACATCGTCTTTAGTTTGAAACGGGTAAGGTGCCTCCCAATATATCAATGGGCCCTGGGCGCCAGGGCAGTCCGTGTGAGTTTCATTGCAGAATGCACGGGGTGGTCACCGCGTTGCTCCTGGCGGTGATGATTTGTGAGGCGCGCTGTCATGAAACGCAGGGCTGTGCAAACAGTCCCGAAGATTGGACTGATAACAGAGGGGTTCCTTGCGACGACTACGAGGACTTGTACACGGCATCTGCTGATCAGGTAATGAATCGTTATGCCATCATCGGTTGTCCCACGGATTTGGGGAGAATGGGCCATTCGGCAGTGGAAGTTTGTTGTATTTGTGGTGGTGGACGTTCACTTCACGTCGCGGACTCCATGATAAGCAACACCACCCTGACAACCATTACAATAACTAGCACAAAGTGGACAACCTTCGCCACCAATTCTGAGAAGGGCAGGAGCCTCCTTGCCAGCACCACCGTGAACAGTACGATCACTATGACCAGCACCTCCGTGACGAGTACAACCACTATGACGAGCAACACCGTGACAAGTACTACCATTACGACCAAAACAACCGTGACCAGTACTGCCACTGTGACCAGCACCACCGTGACGAGTACTACCACTACACCGAGCACCACCGTGACAAGTACTACCGCTGGCCAGCACCACCGTGACCAATATTACCATTATGACCAGCACAAACGGGACGAGCACCACCGTCATCATGACCAGCACCACGACCGTGACCATTGCCACCATGACCAGCACCAGTACCCTGACGAACACAATTGCAACCAGTATAACTACCGTGACCATTGTCACAACGACTAGCACCGCTACCCTGACGAGCGAGCTCCACTGCAATCAGTATTACGCCCTTGACCACCGTCACCATGACCAGCACCACGACCTTGACCACAACCACCATGACCAGCACGACTAGCCTGACGAACACCACTGCAACCAGCACAATTACCCTGACCACTGTCGCAATGACGACCACCACTGCCATTACGAGCACCACTGCAACTTGTGCCACCACCTTGACCACCGTCATCAAGACCAGCACCATGACCAGCACCACGACCTTGACCAGAACCACCATGACCAGCACGACTAGCCTGACGAGCACAACTGCAACCAGCACCACTACCCTGACCACTGTCACAATGACTAGCACGACTACCCTTCCGAGCACCATTGCAACTTGTGCCCCCCCCCCTTGACCACCGTCATCAAGACCAGCACCATGACCAGCACCACGACCTTGACCACAACCACCATGACCAGCACGACTAGCCTGACGAGCACAACTGCAACCAGCACCACTACCCTGACCACTGTCACAATAACGAGC